TTGCCTGCCTGCGGCCCACCGCATGGCTCCATCGACGGCCTGGTATGGCCCAGTTTCGACATCAACAGCTCAAGACCCTCGTGAGGGGCCAAGCCTCGAGAGGCGGACGACGCCAAGACCCCCGAGGGGATCGGCCTCTTCAGGCTGGCTCCCGAGGGGCGGAGAGCTGCAAGGTGCACCTCATGAGGCTCAGCTGACGTGAGCCATGACGACCAAGGCCAGACGGGCGCCAGTGGGCGCAGCGCGCCAGTTTCCTCTTTGGTGCAAGGGAGGCAAGCCACAGGTGAGGGAGTCCTGGATTAGGGGGTATCCGGACAGCTGGACTATATACTTTGGCGAACTATTGGACTGTGAAGATACAAGACTCAAGACTTCGTCCCGTATCCGGATGGGACTCTCCTTTGCGTGGAAGACAAGCTTGGCAATCCGGATAATAGATTTCCTTCTTTGTATCCGACTCTGTGTAAACCATAGCCCCCTCCGATGTCTATATAAACCGGAGGGTTCAGTCCTTAGGGACACAATGAATCATAATCATCATAGGCTAGCTTCTAGGGTTTAGCCTCTACGATCTCGTGGTAGATCAACTCTTGTAATACTCATATCATCAAGATCAATCAAGCAGGAAGTAGGGTTTTACCTCCATCGAGAGGGCCCGTACCTGGGTAAAACATCGTGTCCCTTGCCTCCTGTTACCATTAGCCTTAGACGCACAGATCGGGACCCCCTACCCGAGATCCGCCGGTTTTGATACCGACATTTGTGCTTTCATTGAGAGTTCCTCTGTGTCGTCACTGCAAGGCTCGATGGCTCCTTTAATCATCAACAACAACGCGGTCCAGGGTGAGATCTTTCTCCCCGCACAGATCTTCGTGTTTGGCGGCTTCGCACTGCGGGCCAATTCGTCGGCCATCTGGAGCAGATCGACAGCTACGCCCCTGGCCATCAGGTCAGGTTCGGAAACTTGAATTACACGGCTGATATCCGCGAAGACTTGATCTTCAACGGATTTGGGTCTACGCCAGGAGCACCGAACAGTCACGATGAGCACGGCTTAGACCTGCTGTCGGGCAATACTCGGGATATGGCGCTTGCAGGAGCCCCGGACCTAAATCCGGGGCAGATTGCGTCGTCCGAGGACAGGTGGATGGACCCCGGCCCGGAGGCCGCACACTCATCGAAGGTAGAGCCAAACACAGACTTCATCCCAAAGAAGCCTGTGTCTCCAGACCCCTAGACTTCTGTCCGGCTGTAGGTCCCAGACCGCGCGCCCTCGAGCCCGCCGACTCTGGCTGGGCTCCAGTAATGGAATTTGTCGCTGCGGATATCTTCCAGCACTCGCCTGCTGGCGACATGTTGAACTCATTAAAGTCTCTCTCTTTGTCAGGAGACTCTTGGCCGAACTATGTTCGGCTCAAGGGGGAAGAAGGCGACGAAGAAATTCGTTGCCCACCCACGACCCACTTCATAGCCACTGTTGACGACATAACAGACATGCTTGACTTCGACTCTAATGACACCGACGGTATGGACGTCGGCGCAGGAGACGATTCAGAACCACCACCCACAGGGTGCTGGACTGCCACCTCATCATATGATATATACATGGTGGACACGCCTAAGGAGGACGATGGCGACAAAACGGATGATAAAACCCCTCGGACAAAAGCCAAAACGATGGCGCAGACGCCGCTCCAAGTCCAGCCACAGTAAAAATAGCGATAATAGCGCTAGAAAGATCGACACCCCAGTCAACTCCGAAGGCAACGATGACCATATGGACCCAGCGATGGAGTAGGATGAGCCAGGCCACACCGAAAACAGCCCGGAGTAGACGCCCGATCACAGTGATCCCGAGGGACGAACTCATCAAACTGCCTTGGGACAGGAGCACAGTCCGGACGACGACGCATTCATCATCCCGAAAACACGTTTGGAACGTGATAACCTCCACAGAAGTCTTATGGCCAATGTGAGAAGTCTAAAGAAGCAGAAGCAAAGGCTTAAAGCCGCACAGGAAATGCTCAACCGCAGATGGAATAAAGTGCTAGACGCTGAAGAAAAATACGGCGACGATCGCCACACAAAGAGCTATCCAAAGCGCAAGCTGCTACCAGAATTCGACGATGAGGCCGTTCCACCAAAGAACAATACGACCAGTAGGCCGGACAAACCAATTCATAACCACAATAGAGCATCTACTGATGCAGCACACGATTTACGTGAGCTCCTGGATAAAAAGGCCGGCGCGACCAGGTCCATCTATGGATCCAGAGGACACGCTACGGCGCAGGACTATGGTCACCAAAATGATCAGACTGATCAAATACCAGTTCGGAATCAGCACCGGACACAACAACAACCGACGGCATGCCACAACATGTCCAGATACAGAGGGGTTGCTCACCCCCTGTGCTTCACCGAAGAGGTACTGGACCACAAATTTCCACAGGGTTTTAAACCTGCGAACATAGAGGCATATGACGGAACAACAGACCCCGGGGTCTGGATTGACGATTTTATCCTACATATCCACATGGCTCATGGGGACGACCTCCACGCCATCAAATACCTTCCCCTCAATTTGAAGGGACCAGCTCGGCACTGGTTGAAAAGCCTCCCTGAAAATTCAATCGGAAGTTGGGAGGAACTCGAGGACGCTTTCAGGGCCAATTTTCAAGGGACCTATGTCCGACCTCCGGACGCGGACGATTTAAGTCACATAATTCAACAGCCCAGAGAGTCCGCCCGCAAGCTTTGGAACATATTCCTCACTAAGAAGAATCAAATTGTCGATTATCCGGATGCCGAAGCCCTAGCGGCCTTCAAGCATAGTATCCGGGACGAGTGGCTCGCCAGACACCTCGGCCAAGAAAAGCCGAGGACAATGGCAGCCTTAACAAGCCTTATGACCCGCTTTTGCGTGGGTGAAGATAGTTGGTTGGCCCGTAGAGGCACCAGCGACCCAAGTACATCCGAAATCAGGGATGGTAACGGGAAGCCACGGCGCAATAAAAATAAACATCAAAACAAGGAAGAAAGTCTGGACAACACAACGGTCAACGCCGGATCAGGGGCTCTCGACCCGGTCAATAAAGGAAGCTATTTAAAGGCAGCAAAGAGGGACCGTCCGGCCTGAACAAAGTCCTGGACAGACTGTGCCAAATCCACGGCACCCCTGAAAAACCTGCGAACCACACTCACAGAGAATGTTGGGTCTTTAAGCAGGCCGGCAAATTAAATGCTGAACACAAGGGAAGGAAAACACCAAGTGAAGACGAGGATGAGCCTCGCCAGCCGAACACTAGGGGACAGAAAAAATT